AAAAAAAAAAAGATGTTTAGAATCAAATATTTGAATTCTCAGGTTTTATGACTGTCTTAAGCACAGAGAAAGGAAGGCTAAAGGATAAATGATTACTTTATGAATAAAATCTACTTGGCTTTGTCAAGTTAGCATTAAACATGCAGAAATAAAGCTCATGCTTCATACACAAATAAGACACGTTAGAGAACAAAAAATGCAAAAATATATTTAACCTGGTCAGTAATTTGATCGTTACCAAACCCATTAAAAATTACCCAAGTACTCTCTGCAAAATATTCATTACCTGCATATCCAGTCCACATGACACCAGGCTCTGAGGTCTTTGAGGCCGAAAAGCTACAGAAGAACAGATATTGGAATGTCTCTTCAGTGATCTGCTAACTTTCTTATTTTCCAGATCTAGGATTTTGATTGCTCCGGAGTCATCAGCAGAAGCCAGCAGGTTTTCAGTTTCATTCAATGAGAGACAATTGATCTCTTCTTCATTCACATGAAAATGGTCCAAGGAACCTTTGAGTGACCGGACATCCAGTAAGCTAATGGTTTCTCCATGTGAAGCATAGAGCTTAGTGGGGCAGGAGGGAGAGAATAAGACACTGGTAACATCATCAGCCCCTTGGAAGCGTTTATGTCCTAATGGAGTCCCATCTTCACCCCAAACCATAAGATCACCACCCTCTGCTCCAGAAGCGACTAGGCCTTCTTGACTTGCATTCAGGCAGAGAATAGGTGAAGAATGTCCACCAGTCCACTTGACTGCCATTATGGCCCAGAAGACACTGTGGAGAGGGGGAAAAAAACTATAATCTCTTATTTAAGAACTTGATGGGAGGAGACAAATACAATATGCAGTATTTCACTTAAATATTTAAAAAGACATCTAAAAAACCTTAATTTAAAAAAGGACATTTGAAGATCAAGTCTACAAAAGTTTAGTTGCAAACAGGATTGGGTACACCTGGCTGGCACATGCCTAAATGGACTTTCTATGCTATCAGGGACCCAGGCAAACCTTGTCCTCTAGCATCTGATATGAGGTTCACATTAGAATAAATACCATATATTTAAATTAGTAAAAATTCTTTTTAAAAGAGAGATGCTTGGGGCACCTGGATGGCTCGGTCGGTTAAGCATCCGATTCTTGATTTCAGCTCAGGTCATGATCTCATGGTTTGTGAGTTTGAGCCCCACATCCGGCTCTGTGCTGACAGTGTGGAGCCTGCTTGGGATTCTCTCCCCTCCCCCATCTCTGCCCCTCCCCCCCCCAAAACAAACAAACAAACTTTAGGGGCATCTGGGTGGCTCGGTTGAGTGTCCGACTTCAGCTCAAGTCATGATCTCAGTTTGTGGGTTCAAGGCCCGCATCAGGCTCTGTACCGACAGCTCAGAGCCTTAAGCCTGCTTCAGATTTTGTGTCTCCCTCTCTCTCTCTTCCCTTCCCCCACTCGTGCTCTCTCTCTCTCAAAATAAACGTTAAAAATAATTAAAAATAAATAAACTTAAAAAAATAAAAAATAAAAGAGAGCTGTTCAATTATCAAGTTATATCTTTTATATGAATAATGTTTTAGAGAATGAGCTCTGGAGCTAGACGTTCTGAGTCTGAATAGCTCTACTACCTATTATTAGCTGGGTGACTTTGGTCAAGTTACTGAACCTCTCTGTGATTCATTTTCCTTCTCTATAAAACAGGGGTAATAAAAATAATAGCACCATTTCACAGGATCATAGCAAAATAATATGTGTAAAGCACATATAACAGTGTCTGGTACATAATGAGGGCTCAACAAATACTACCATGATCACTTTTCCTATTAAAAAAAAAAAAATTTTAATGCAATCTCTACACCCAACATGGGGCTCTAACTCATAAACCCAAGATGAAGAGTCACATGCTCCACTGACTGAACCAGCCAGGCACCCCTCACTTCTTCTATTTTTATTAGGCTGGTCAAAGTGGTATCATGTATCTATATCAATGGTCCTCAAAGTATGGCCTCCAGACCAGCAGCATCAGCATAAACTAGGAACTTAGAAATATAAATTGCCCAATACTACCCTAGAGAATCAGAAATGCTGGGGTTGGGGCCTAGCCATTTGACAATAGTTTAAAAAAAATTTTTTTTAACATTTATTCATTTTTTGAGAGACAGAGCGTGAGCAGGGGAGGGACAGAGAGGGAGACACAGAATCCAAAACAGGTTCCAGGCTCTGAGCTGTCAGTACAGACCCGGGACACAGGGCTTGAACTCAAGAACTGTGAGATCATGACCTAAGCCGAAGTCAGATGCTTAACTGACTGAGCCACTCAGACACCCAACCACTTGTTAACAGTTTTTAACTTGTTAGGATTCTCTGAAATTTCAGAAAATGACGAAAAGCCATAAATGATTCATTATATTCATAAAAGCATTCATTAATGCTTTTAAAGTACTCGGGTATTTTTAAGTTTATTTATTTAAGAAATCTCTACACCCAACATGGGGCTCAAACTCACAACCCTGAGATCAAGAGTCACATGTTCTATTGACTGAGCCAGCCAGATGCCCTGTACTCATGTATTTTTAATTACTTTATCACCCACTTAACACTTAACAGCAGTACTTATGTGCGAAATTGAGATTCCTGATACACTAGGCATCCCAGATTTATATAATGAAACTGTCATATAATACCACCCTGCCTTAACTGCCTGTTGGATAAAGCAAAAAAAGGAAATCAGGGCAATTTATATAACTCTAAATGGTTAGAGAAAAGAAAGCAAACAAACCTACTGGGAGAATTTATCTAGTGAGAAATTGCCATTGCTGCTTTCATATTTTCAGATATGAAACCTGAATTTAGTCCAATAACACAGAGATAAATTTCCTAATATTGTTCTGAAAAATGATTTAAAATAATCTGGCAATCCGCCCGAAGTTTCTATTCCTGACACAAAGCTTATTTCCTCCCATTTTTAGACACTCGCACATACACAAAATCACTAACTAAACTGCAAAAAAATCACTAATCTTTTAGTAATCAAAGTAACGGGGGGGGGAGGGAGTAACAGAAACATGGTCACATAAACAGATATAGCAATTTTCATAAAGATGACAAAATAGGAAAGACAAAAAGATTTATTTTAAAAAAAACATTTATTTCAGCAGAAGCACTGAATTTGTATACAGACGAAACTAAAGACTGAAGTAAATAAGTTTTAAAGGAGAGGTTTGGAGAGGAAATGACTCAAAGAGGTAAAGACAGGGAACTCGGGTAGTTTGATTTTTGCTGACAAGTAATGAAATAGTAGTTAAATAATTTTCTACCATAAAAAAGGCTTTTGCCAAATGTTCCAGATAAAGGAAGAAAAAAGTACACTTAGCACAATTTGAAATAAATGTTATTAACGTTATTTAGGCTTAGGGACAGTCATCTGTGGTGACTGACTTATCACATTAACATAGATAAAATGCTACCTTAAAATATGAAGTTTGTATTAACCATTGAAAAGACCAGTAGAGTTACAAATAATTTTAACTTTTTTCTTTAGAGAATTGATCGATTATTTCCTACGTTAGTTTTAATTTTTCTACAGTGAATCCACTTTAAAGTCCGGGGAAGTCTGCCCTCTACAGCTTTAGGATTTTGTGTGCGTGTGTTTTTGAATTCCTACTGGGATTTTAAGTTTTCTCTAAGACAAGAATGAGGCAAGGTTTCTAGCACTTCTGTTTTCCCATCACAGATCTACTCACAGGTGACCTAAGTAAATGCCGACTGGTGAAGTTTTTTCGCAGGTTTTCTGCCTAATATAATTTTTTTCTGGAAAAGACTCATTAAAGACACACGTGGTTAAGCTCACCCCAAAGTGTGAGAAATTAGGCAATAAATGGATTTTGAGCTTAAAGGAACTATTACAGACAATACAGCTCCTGTAAATTTTTCCATAATGGAACCAGTGTCTATTGATCTCACAAAACCAAGGTCAGCCCTACCTTAACCTCTACGCACCAGTGTAAAATACAAATTAAACTTCTAATCTCTACATCACATGAATAGTATTTACTGATCACCAAGCTAGTCAGAAAAATAAAAATAAAGACCTATTATGGAGAATGTTAAGAAAAATAGTTGAAGGGCTCCTGGGTGGCTCAGTCAGCTAAGCATCTAAGTTTGGGTCAGGTCATGATCTCAGAGTCATGAGTTCAAGCCCCACATTGGGCTCTCTGTTATCAGCACAGATCCTCTGTCCCTCTCCTCTCTCTGCCCTTCCCCCGCTTGTGTGCTTTCTCTCAAAAATAAATAAACATTAAAAAAATAAAATTAAAGCAAGAAAAACTGTTGGGAAAGTCCCAGAAATGTACTATACATTGAAGCTTTTCAACTTATGCAGGGTATTGATCACGGGAGTCAACCAGAACCCCGGGGATCACTTGTTTACTTAGTCTACAAAATTAAAATTATTTGTTCTGTTATTTGAAACATACCAAAGCCCACTATCAAAAAGTATTAAACAACAGGGGTGCCTGGGTGGCGCAGATGGTTGAGCACCTGACTTTTGATTTCAGCTCAGGTTATGCTATCATGGTTTGTGAATTTGAGCCCCGCATTGGGCTCTGTGCTCTCGGTGCGGGGCCTGCTTGGGATTCTCTCTCCTTCTCTCTTTGCTCCTCCCCAACTTGTGCACTCTCTCTCTCTCAAAATAAATAAATAAACTTAAAAAAAAAAAACCGTATCAAACAACAGATTGCTGTGGTATAAGGCCGTGGCAAAAAAATGTAATTAAATCTGAGTTAAATCAAAACAATCTTTCAGAAATGAGCTGTCAGGCCACTGTTTCTTGTTTTTCCTTACTGGGACAGCAAAGCCTACAAGAAATAGGTAGGAGCCATTATCTCCTTGTTCAGGTATCAGGTCAACAAGCTTCTCTTCTCATAGGTAATGTCTAAAGCAATTTATCATAGCCTATTGTGCATTACTCTAATTAGATAATAGTTTCCTTTAACACCTAATGAAATCATGGAGTCAGCAAGGAAAGGTGGGGTATCTTGAGAACATTTTTAGAAAGGGTGGAAGGTGAAGATGGAAGTTCTGAACAGTCAGAAGGCAGGACGGTACTAAATATGGGGGGGGGGGGGCAAGGTCAGGAGGATGATTTGTAGAAAGAAAAGGACCCAGTCATAAAATCTTTTCCTACTTTGAAATTCTGCCTGGGGCACTTGAAGGGGTACTTGCCACAAAGTCAGCTCACTGACTGGGCTGTATTAGCACCAGAATTATCTCATCAGATCCTTCAAAGGCTCCACCTCACCTACACTGTGACAGACAGAATAAATGTCAAAGTCTTTAATAACTGAATGATATCTAAATACTGCTCCAGTTATATTTCCATGTGCCCACACGTCCTTTTCAAGTGTCTGTGACTTCAAAGCTGTTGATTCTGCCTGGTTCTTTGTCCCCTTCTCAGATGGACCAAACTCTACTTATCTTTGAAGAATAAAAAAAAAAAAAAAAAAAAAAAAAAAAAAAAAAAAAAAAAAAAAATTAAAGTGCCTTCCCAAACAAACTCTGACCTCCTTGGGAGGGGACATCTTGTATGTCCCATAGATGAAAGTTGAAAAATGAATAATGAATAAAACTCCCTAGTCTGAGATTACACTACCATTCAAACAATATGAGGTAGTCACTATCAGTATAATAAGTATAGGTCAATTTTTTTTCACGTTTGGGTTTTCCAAAGTTGGTCCTGATGTGGAGAAGCTGGATAGCAACCAAAATGATTGAAAGGCTGTGGCATTAGCACTAGTTAGTAAAGAATCTGGGATATTAAACTGGGAGGAAAAAAACATCTGGGAAGAAGGGACTAGCAAATAATAAACACCATTTACCAGAGAGTAGAGAAGGTAGTTGCTGTTCGTTTTTAATGGAGAATTAGAAATGTATTATACACAGAGGGAACTACTGAAAAGATTTCTTACCACATAAAGGCAAGACAGTGGAGTTGACTACTAAGGGAATCTGTGAGTCTTATAATATTACCCCAGAGTTGTTTTGATAATTATATAAAACTCGAATCAAAGACCTGGCACAATGCCTTGTTCACATGATGGTTATTATTTTCTCTCACTAAGCATTCTTTAAAGGCTGTCAGAAAACTTTTGGCCACCTAGGAAAATGCAATATAACCAAATAATGCTTAAATTATTTCTCTTCCAAGAAGCCATCTATAATTACAGCCTCCACATCATTCTCCCTATTGGAATGTCCAATTATATAAAAACACGCTGCCTGGATCCGCCTACTAATCGGGTTAGCAGGAAAAACTGGGAAAGGCTACATTTTGTCCAAAGAAAGGAGGACTTAATCAGCAATTACTCGGCACTTTCAGGCTATCGAAACATTTGGGCGGGGGTGGGGGGAGGTGGTGCGGGGATTCAAATATGATGACCTTATTTTCCAAATACACGCTAGGACTCAGGTTCTGATAAGTGCCAGTACCAACAAAGAACAAAAGGGCCTGACCAGGAGAAGACGACCTCAGACGCCGAAGGTAAAGAAAGAAGATCCAACTTAAGTAGAAGGTGGCGGAGCTAGGACTTGGCTAGCAAGGAACTGGAAATTTCATGCGTTAGAGTGGCGTCTGAAGCAGGGACCTGACACAGGAAAACCTCACAGGGAAAGGGGCCCAGGAAAGCAGACGAGAGACCACTAGACCAAAAAAAGGAAAAGACACCGAGGAACAGCCACAAAGCCACAGATGCCAGCCTCATACCTGCGCTTCCCGCTTTCCTCCTCGGCGCCTCGTGATGACCTCACCTGTGGGCGCCCAATCCCATCTAGCGCTGGGCGCGGGGCGCCTCAGCCAAACAGTCACATCCGGGGCCGAGAGGAACCGCGAGCGAGCTGGGCGTGCGCCCTTGCTTCGTGCCCTCAACCAGTATGGCGGAGCCACGGGCGCGCCGCGGGGAGGCCGTGCGAGTCGGGCGGTTCCGACGCCCGCGCTGAGCCGGGGAGGAGGGGCGGGGGACGCCCGTGCGGCCGGTGCGTCTGCCCTCAGTGAGGCGGGGCGCGCGGCGGACGCCCCCGGGCAGGGGCGGGAGTGGTGGAGGGCCGGTGGTTGGCTGTGAAAGGGGCGGTGAGCGAGGTGCTTCGGTCTTAAGGCGAGGCTTGGCCTCCCCAGCAGAGACGGGGGGAAGAGGCGGCGGCAGCGGCGGCCCTTGGGCCGGCTGGTGAGGCGATGGCGGCACCAGCCCCGGGGCCTGGCGGAGCCTCTGGTGGCGCTGGCTGTAGCGGCGGCGGCGGCGCGGTCGGCGGCTCGGGATCCGGGTCCGCGGGCGCAGGGGGCCGGCTGCCCAGCCGGGTGCTGGAGTTGGTGTTTTCCTACCTGGAGCTGTCCGAGCTGCGGAGCTGCGCCCTGGTGTGCAAGCACTGGTACCGCTGCCTGCACGGTGATGAGAACAGCGAGGTGTGGCGGAGCCTTTGCGCCCGCCGCCTGGCAGAAGAGGCTCTGCGCACGGACATCCTCTGCAACCTGCCCAGCTACAAGGCCAAGGTGAGGGAGCCCCGGGCCACGCCGCTGCCCCCAGTCCCGCTTCTCTGCGCCGCTCTCAATCTCAGTGCTTCTCATCTGAGCTCTGACTCAGACGCCTCGCCTCACCATCCCGCCTTTGCACGGCTGCAGTCTGTACCTTACTTCACGTCCCCCTCCATGAAGATCCTCTCTTCTCTTTGAAGTTCTGCTCCTTAAACCTACCCCCCTCACTTCCGTGATACACTTTTTAAAGGACCAGATAGTTTCCAGTTACTGGTTTCCATCACTCATTCCACTTTCCACAGACTTTCCCCATAAAGACAGACCACCCCCATTGTTGTGCCATTCAATACTTTCCCATTTTTTATTAGATCATCTTAGCTGCCTTAACACCGGCTGGATTTCTAAGATCTTTGCTTTCACCCCACATTCACCTCACTCTTTTCAAGCTGTGATTTATAACTATTTTATTCTATTTTCGCCTAAGTTCTCTTTCCCTCGATTATGTTTCAGACTTGTAAGTGAGTGTAGTCCTAGACATCCTGCTAACTTTCAAATTACAGGTTTGAATAGAACATCCTCTCCCCTTCCCCGTCAGCACCATTTAACCATCCTAATACTGCCTTGTTCCACTATTGGCTAACTTCCCTGCCAACTTTTTCATAGTTCCACCTTGATGGTGTGCCTCTTCTATTCTGTGTGTCATCTTATGTGCTGATTCTGGTTTTGATGCCTTTTCCCCCTAGATTCTTGTGCACATTCCTGTCTTTTTCATATACAAATAAAAATTTCAAGTAACAGGTTATGGTAGGGCTGAGAAGATTCTCCAGGCAATATAAACAAAGACCTCGAGCTTGAATTCAGTTGGATGGATAACAGCTATTAAGTATAGCAGTCACCAAGAGCATATGTGAGAGAGGATGAAGTCTGTCCTAGAATGTGGTAAACATAAAAAATACATTAATAACTAAAAAAAGGAGATACCCTTTTTAAAGCTAGACTGCCAAAGGGGGGGTCAGAGTAAAGTAAAATTTTTTTCCCTGTGTGAAATAGATGTAAAATTTATTCTTCTGTAATAAAGCAGGTTTTAGTTCAATAAGATAAGGAATGTTGCAATTAAGTATGTCAAATATCAAATTAGTTTTTTTCTATTAAGTGAAATAGCACATTAATTTTTTTTAAGTTTATTTATTTTGAGGGAGAGCACGTGCACAAGTGAGTGGGAGGGGAGCAGAGAAAGAGGAACAGAGAATCCCAAGCAGGCTCTGGGCTATCAGTGCGGAGCTGGACGTGGAGCTCGATCTCACAAAATGAAATGTGAAATCATGACATGAGCTGAAACCAAGAGTCAGTGCTTAACCGACTGAGCCACCCAGGTGCCCCAACACATTAATTTACACATGGTGGATACTCAGTGGATACTAGTTGTAATTTATGTAGTAGCATGCAGAACATTACAGTTTTATCAGGCAAAGTAGGCTTTAAGACATTTTTGTAATTGGTCTGTAAAAGATACATTTACATGAGGCAGGATTCATATGACAGTATGTGTTAGTGTGTTCATGTAAGTCAACATGCAAAAGAAGCAATATAGTATAAGCAAAATGTCTTGCCTTTTGCCCTTGTCTGCCAGCCACCCAGTTTGCCTTCTTGGAGGCAACCTGTGTTACCTGTATCCTTCCAGAGATATTTTAGGTTTCTTAGGTTTTTAATACTTTATATTGTCTTTCTACCACACCCATGATAGGTATTGTAGATTTCTACTAATTATATGTTCGTTCAGATGTTGCAGGACACAGGAAGAATGTCTTGAGGATAAAAAGATTAATTCAAAAGAAGTCAGAGACCCTAGTAAGGAAGTCCTCAGTCAAGTAGAGAAGAAAAATGTATAGAAATAATTAACACATGATAGAAATTGCTCCTGTGACATAT